GGGGCACCTGGGTGGCTCAGTCGGTTGAGCATCTGACTTCAGCTCAGGTGATGATCTCGCAGTTTGTGGGTTCGAGCCCGGCGTCTGGCTCCATGCTGACAGTGCAGAGCCTGCTTGGGATTCCCCCTCTCTCCCGCTCTCTGCCCCTCCCCTGCTCTCACACACACACACACACACACACACACACACACTCTCTCTCTCTCTCTCTCAAAATAAATAAACAAACTTAAAAAAACAAAAACAACGGGTAGAACACGGCAGAACTGATGGTGACCTGTGACGTAGGTCATGAAAGACATGTGGCTTCCTCCCTACTCTGCTTGGGATTGCTAACGTCAGGAAACCAGCTGCCACATCATGAGGACACTCAAGCAGCCCCGTGGGGGCCCATGCAGTAGGAAGGAGACTTCCGCCACCAGCCACATGAGTGAGCCTGGAAGTGGATCCTCGGCCCCGGTCAAACCTTCAGATGAGCACAGCCCCCGCTGGCAACCCGATCACAACCTCATGAGAGATCCGGGGCCAGGACCACCCAGTTAAGCTGCTCCTGAATTCTGGACCCACGCAAACCATGAGGTGGAAACACTTGCTGTTTTAAGCTATGTTCCGGGGTAGTCTGTCACATAGCAATGCAGAACTGTCATACTCTGGTTTGACTCAAGGTCCCTCGTGCACAGCTCTCCTGTAAGACCCAGTGGACACATTTCCATTTCGGGAAGCACCACCCCCAGCCCCGGGTCCCCAGTCTCCTCAGGGCACTGCTATGGGCACCGTCCTACCTGACTTGTCATGGACGATGGAGAAGAGGATGCGCTTCGAGGCGTGGACATTCTGGATGAGAGGACCACCAGGCCCGGGGGGCTTCTGTCCTGGACAAGGCAGAGGAGAGGCACAGGTTCAAGGTGGGCCCCAAGAGGGCTTCCCCCAGATCTGGCCTGGGGTAACAGCCTCATCCATCAGGGAGACCCCAGAACTGAGCCCTGTGATCGCGAACTCTAGGCAAGTTCCCTGACCAGGGGCAGAGTCTGCTATCCAAACGGGAGATCAGGGAGAAGCTGTGATGTCCCAGGACACCTTTTACAGGCGGGGACACCTATTTCAGGTGTGTAAGTCCCACCCGCCGCTCAGCCCACACATTTGGCGGTGGGGAGGGGAGGGAAGCCCTTTTTTCTCCTCCTGATAACAGCCCCCTCTAAGCACCTACTATGTACTAAGCATTGGACTCAGGGGTTTTGTGTGTGTGTGTTTAATTTTAGAGAGACAGAGAGCACAGGTGGGGAGAGGGGCAGAGGAAGAGACAGAGAGAGAGAGAGAGAGAGAGAGAGAGAGAGAGAGAGAGAGAATCCTAAGCGGGCTCCACACTCAGCATGGAGCCCGATGTGGAACTCGATCCCACGACACTGGGATCACGACCTGAGCCAAAATCAACAGTCAGATGCTCAACTGACTGTGCCACCGGGCGCCCCGGACTCAGTGCTTTAATACAGCAGTTCTCAAGCTTGAGCACCATCTGAATCACCTGGCACATTCGAATACACAGGCGACCGGGCCCCGTCCCCAAAGCTTCAGATTCAGCAGGACTGTGGCAGGGCCTGAGAATGTGCATTTCTGACTGGCCCAGGAACTTGACCCGGACGATAACCTTGTGAGAGGTTCTACTGGCATCTGCACTTGACAGATGAGGAAACTGAGGCTCAGAGAGGTAGAGATTTGCTCTGGGACACACAGCCACTGAGCCAAGGAGCCCGGAGATGTGAACACAGGTCTCTCTCACATCCAGGTGTCCCTTCTCTATCTCCAGTACCCCCAACCCAGGCTGGGGATGCAGCATGTGACCGATTAGCATGTTTACTGACTCCACAGACTCCTCTGGACATCGCTTGGCCCCAGGCCAAGGATATTGTTCACAGACAGCTGAGGGGAGGCCCAGGGTCGCCAGCTGTCCTGTCCCAGCCCCTTGTCCCAACGTGCCTCCTTCAGCCTGGGGTGGGCCCGGGCACCCGGACCTGCCCTGGGAGGGTGCCCCCACACGAGTGACCCCTGTCCCACCCCCAGACTTAGGGGTCCCGGCAGCAGCTTACCACAGCAGTCGGGGAAGTCCTGGGCACCAGAGGCCTTGGGCTCAGGCCCGGGCCGGCCAAGGCCCAGGTCGCTGGGGGCAAGCGGGCAGGCGGGCGCCTCCTGCTTGAGCTCTCTCGTGGTGTGGTTAGGGAGTGCGCTGCTGTACAGGAAGCTGGCCACAGAGGAGGTGGTGGCGGTGGGGGGTAGGTCCTGGGGTGGCCCCTTGGGGGCCTGGCCATGCAGGCCGCAGTCCCGAGACCCCTTGGCTATCAGGGAGACGCCGTTCAGCTCCACTAAGGCCTTTGAGTCCCGCCCGCCATCCTCAAGCGGCCTGGGTGAAGGAGAGAAGGACACGTGATGGCTTCATACACCTGACCCACCAGAAGGTCCCATCTCTTCCTTTAGTCCCCCAGTCCGGCCCCCGCACAACATGGCGGCCTGCGAGGTACACAGGACGGGAGCTAGTCCCCATTTTACAGGCGGGGGTGCAGGCCAGGACAGGGCTGTAATGTGCCCAGGGCCGCTGGAGGAGCTGGGCCCTGCCCCTTGGCCTCTGTGCCTCCCACCCAGCCATCACATGCCCGGTCGCCCCCCAGCTCCTACCACATCCCTCCTCTTCTGGGCCTGTGCGCGGAGGGTGGTTGAACACCCATGGGCAACGCCACGGCCTCGGGCCGGTCTCCAGGCAGCCCCAGCGCTCGACCCAGCTCGCCAGCCTCCACCTCCTCGCCTCCCCCCAGCCCCTGACATAACCCCAGCGAGTACACATGATGTGGCTCCCGGCCAGGGCTGTTCCAGCCTCTTTGCAACACCGAAGTCCCCTGGGGGCCCCCGTGACATAACGCCTGGCTCAGATCATGCTCTACGACCGGGCATTTGCCTCACCTCCGCTGCCAGGCTGGGAGCTTTTAGTCCCCCTCGGGTGTCTGAAGTCCCCTCCCCGTGACTGGGTAAGTGGCCACAGGTGGCTGAGCCAGAATGGAAGCAGGTCGCCCTCCTGGCCCGTCCTGGTCCGGACCTCACAGTCCAGCCACCAGGCCCCGGGCCCACTCACCTCTTGAGCTTGAAGCGGATTCGGTGGCTGTGCTCCAGGATGGCCATGAGGGCCTTGGGGTCGTAGTCGGCTGGCCTCCGGAAGGCCAGGCCCTCGGGCAGCCCCTGCACGGCCAGCAGCCCCGGCTCCCTGAGCAGCCTCTCGTACGGCAGGGGCACCACGCTGGCCCTTCCCAGGGCCTCGCCTGTGGGGGAGGGGGTCGAGGAGAGGGTCTAGTGTGAGAGGGCAGCCAGGCTGGGCTGGGGCCACGTGGAGTCACTCCCTGTGGTGCCGGGTTCCCAGGAAACTGGACCCCACGGGCCCCTTCACTGTGAGCTTCACACAGGACAGGCTAAGTGGGGGGGAGGGGTGGGCGAGTGCTAGGGACAAGTCCCCTTTGTGTGCACCCGAGGGCCAGGGCTCCCCCACGGACAGGGCTCCCAGCTTCTCTCGCCATTCTCTTCTCTCAGGGCGCCCGGGCGGAGGGGAGGGCGGGGTGCAGGGTTGAGGGTGGGAGGTGAGGAGGAGACACGGGGGAGAGAGAAAGGAGGGCGGGAGAGAGATGGCAGGGAGGACGGGAGGAGGTGAGGGAGGGGAGTGGAAACAGGAAGAACAGAGTCAGGAAGAGAGGAAGCACACGGACAGAAGGTGGTGGGGTTGAAGAAGGGGTGAGTGGAGGGGAGACTGGCTGGGGACTCAGGGTGGCCCAGGGGCCCTGGGTGAGGAATGACTGTTGTCACTCCCACCCTGCAGCCCCACCTGGAGCCAGTAAGAGGCCGCTCACCTCAGGGCCACCTCAGGTTCCACCGGTGGTGGGACAGAGTGGGGCGAGGCGTGTGGGGGGCTGTGGGCACCAACCCCGTAGCTGCCAAAAGGGCGGTTGCCTGGCCAACCACGTGTGACATGTCCTCCCCTCCCAGGGTGGCCAGCGTGCCCACCCAGGCCCTCCTGGCCTCCCCTCCCACCCAGGCCTCCTCTTCCTCCTGACATCTAGACGACAGCAGGAGTTTCCTCACAGACCTTTGCTCCACACAACCAAAGGCTGCAGTAGAGAAGGGAACAAAGCCAGAGGTGGGACCCTTAGGGACCTGCCCAAGGTCACCTAGAGAGTGTGAAGGCTACCACTGGGCCAGAGACTCTGCAACCTGACGCTTCTGAGGGAGGCCAGGCCCGCCCACCTCCCCCACAGGAAGGACTCGGCTAACTAGTTAAGTTAGCTGTCGCTCAGTCGTTCAACAAACACCCCGTCAACATCTGCCGCCGTTGGGCCCTGAACTACAGGCTGGGGAACAGCAGAAAGGGCAAGCACAGACCCTGACCCCAGAGAGCACTGCGCTGGTGAGGACACAGGACACAGTGGGTACCCAGAGGGGGCATTAAGCCAGTGGGGCAGGCGGTTTCCCAGAGCCGAGGCTTAGAGAATAATGTGGCGTCCACCAGACAGAGGGGAAGGCAGTCTGAAAAGGCACAGCGGTGCAAAGGCGAGGAGGTGTGAAATGAAGCCGGAGTGTGCTGGAGAGCAGGAAACGGTTCCGTCAGGCAGGGCAGCATGGCTGGGGGTGGGCGGGACCGGCCACGTGGGTGCTTAGGCCACATTGAGGGCAGTGGGGAGCCCCCAGGGCAGTGGAAGGAAGAGCTTCCTGGTCAGACTTGTGTTTTAGGAAGAGGCCCTTGGTCAAGGACAGGTGGGGGCAGCAGGGAGCCGGCCTGCAGGCGAAAAGAGACTAGGGCAAGCCGGGGGCCACTTCCAGGCGACAGGTGGCAGTGACCAGCGCCAGGCAGGCCGGGGCAGTGGGGACGGTGGTTCAGGAAGCAAGGCCGGGGTGGAGGAGCCATGCCTGGGGATACAAGACGAGGGAGGGCTGGGGTGGGGGGGCGGGGCCACACCTTGAGGTCTTGCCCTGGGCCCGCGGTGGGGCCGGGAGGGGCCTCCTCAGCATGACAGGGACCGGGGCTCCCACCCGCCCGGGGGCCCCAAATGGAATGAGGAAGGATCTTACTATAAAGAACATCAAACACCTCCTCTACCATCTTCCGCAGAAGGTACACGTCCGAGCCGTGCTCCAGGGAAGACCGAGGGACGTTCCGGCCGCCACCCTCGCCCCGCGGCACCTTCTTGGGATGCTCTGCCTCCGGCTCCTTCCATGGGGCCCCTCCTGCGGGACACAGAGCAGGTCGGGCCATGGCGAGCACCCATGTCACCACCTGCCCAGCGAGCTGGCATGTCCCTGCCCCGCGCTGAACCCTGCAGCGAGACACTCAACACGGAACAGGAATGAATGAACGAACGAACGAACGAACAAGCGGGCCCTGCCCCAAACCCCTGCCCAGGGCAGGGCTGGTCTTCTCTGAGTTCCTAGTGCCTAGCATAGGGCTTGGGTTTCCTCCTGGTCACCTCTAACTCACTGTGTGACCTTGGGCAAGTCCCTTCCCTCTCTGGGCCTCAGTCTGTGAGCTCTCGCATAAAAACCGGCTGGCCTGGCTCAGAACTGGGGTTCAGCCAAGGTCTGTTCCATCCAACCCTCTCTGGGCTTAGACACTAATGCTGTCTTAGACGATCGAGGCCCCAGTTTTCTGCTCTGCCAGACGAGGAGACGATGGGGACACCGCCAGGAGGCCAAGGGGCTGCAAAGAGGCAGGTTCATGCCAGGCTGGGCCAGGGTGGGGCCCTGGGAGTATCAGTGAACCTTTGGCTAGGGAAATGCTAGAAAATGCGTTGGAAAGGGGATGGGTGGAGGGTCTGGAGGGCCCCTCGCAGCTTGGAGCCGGCTCCCCTCCCGGGATCCGGGGAGCTTGAAATAAACCAGCCGAGCTCCCGGCTATAAATAGCAGCTCTGCCTGGCTCCGGGAAGCCAGGTGCACACGCCCCAGCCTGGCCGATCGGGGGCCACAGGACCCTGGCACTGTCTACTCTACCCTGGTCCAGCCCCCACCCAACCTGGGGAGAGGGCACAGCCTCTGAGAGCTGAGTGGGAGTAGGGGTGGGGGCGGCTGGGGAAGCATCTGGAAGCTGGGAGCACTGGAAGTCCAGTGCCGGGGGACAGCCTTCCCTGAAATGGCTGATCTAGGGTCCAGACCCCGGGTATAAGGCAGATGCTAATAATAATGGCAAGGACAAAAACAGCCGGCATATATTGTGTGTAAACCACATGCCTGGCACTGTTCTAACCTCTAGGAGGTTTGTTTCATCCTCGGATCGACCCTCGAGGAGTGCAGCACTGTCCTCCCCTTTCACAGACAAGGAGGTTAAGGCCCACTGGGCAGCAGGTGGTGGAGCGAGGATAGGGCCCCAGACGTCTGACTTCAGGGCCTGCTCTTAACCCCAAGAGCTCTGAGTTCCAAATCGTGGGCTCGAATGGCCGGGGGGATGCTGGCCTTCAGCGCTGGGGCCAGGCCCCAACCCTGTAGGACCTAACCCACCACAAAGGTGACGCTGACCTCGCTCAGGAGCTTACCAGGAGCACGCATGGGAGCTTAGGGCATGGGAAGCTGGCACAGTGTGGGGAGCAAGGGCTGGGGTGGGGGGCAAGGAGTGGCAGCGGCACAGAGGGGGCCTGGGCGGGAGGAATGTGAATCCGGAGGCCGGGGAGGCATCTGCGGGCAGGGGAGAGGAGGCAGGGCCTTCCAGTGGGCAGAGGTGAGAATGCACCTGGAGGTGAGCCAGCACTCAGCACAGCACCGCCTGCGGTGAGGACGCGGGATGCTGGGAGGGGAGAAGGCAGAGCCAGGGGCTGAGTTATGAGGGTGTAAAGGCCCAGGTAGCATTGAGGAGTTGGAGGCTTCAGAAAGACCCTTGCTTCAGAGCTCCCAGCAGGGGGGGCGGGGTGTCCTGATGTCCCTCCCCTATTTTGAAGGGGCGTAGCAGAAAGAGCACGGTGTTCAAAACAGAAACCTGGCCTCTACCGCTTGTCAGCTGGGTGTCCCTGGGGGACGTGGCTTATGTTCACTGGACCTCAGTTTCTCATTTGTAAACCAGAGGTAAGTATTTCCTGAGCACACGGCTTGGCCCAAAGCCCTATGGATCGAGTTTATCAAGCATTTCCTTCGTGCTGCATGGGTCCTCAGTCACTTGGTCCCCAAGAGCCACTAGGAGGCAGCTCCAAGATTGTTACTGTAACAATGAGAGTGTCTACCCGCCCTGGGTAACGGAGTTAGCATTGTAAAGGGTGCTGCACACAGCAGGGACTCAGCAAGTATTAGGTGAACAGATGCACTCGGTCCCCATGTCAGAGACTCACAGGAACCGGGCAACACTGGGCCTCAGTGTCCCCTTCTGTCAATGAGCAGATGGAGGGGTCGGGCCTGGCCCCCCCTGGGGTTTGTGTGTCTGATTCCAATAAAAACTCTGCCCCCCCATAACGATGCCACACTGGGAAGCCTACATAACCCCACCCCCCAACCCGACACAGGGCCACCTGGTAATGCTCTGGGGACCCAGAGATGCGCCAGAGCCCCTGCCCTCAGGGACCGCAGGCCCCGCCCCTGGAGCCCCGGGGTACTCACGGCAGAACCTGAGGAAGTCTGATTGCAGCTCCTTCCGTGTGCTCAGGAACATCCTCCCCTTCTCGGTGCCCACCACGAAGGCGCTCTCATCGTGCACAGCAACACAGGCCACCTCCGCATTCAGCTTGGAGAGCGCCGAGCACTGCAGGGGGTAGCAGGGTACGTGAGCCCGGGGAAGGCTCCCCCTGCTTGGGGACACCTCCAGTGACGGCTCTGGGGGTGCGATGGGAGTTCCCAGCTGCCTGAGAGCCCACCAGCAGCTCGAGGGGGAGGTCACCCCTCCAATGTTCTCGGTCAGTTCTGCAGCAGGAATGAGTGAATGATGCCACCTGCCCCCACCGAAGCTTGGTCAAGGTCAGGGGAGAAGATAGGAGAACGAAGACACATGGCCTCTGCCCGTCCCTCCTCCCAGGTCTGCCTTGCTCTGGGGGCAGGAGGCTTCCGGCCTGAGGCTTGGCCCCAGCCCCAGGGACAATCCTGTCTTAGGTTTTCTCAAAGTCCTAACTGAGGAGGAGGTGGGGGGCCCCAGGAGAACCAAGGCTCAGACAGATCCAGGCTTCAATCCCCCATCAGCGCCTTCCTGCTCTGGGACTAATGGGGCCAAACAGCCCAGTGCCCAGGCTTTCAATGGGCTTGGTCGTGGGGCCTGGTTGGCATGAAACCACATCTCTAAACCGGGGCACCTCATGTGGGTACACAATCGGAGAGGTTACTTTTGCAGTCCCAGAGTTGAGGTTGGCCGGCCCACAGCACAGGAAGCCCTCACACAGGGGCCCTGCAGCCGAGACCACGAGCATTTCAGCCCTCTGACCTAGGTCAGCAGAAAAACTCTGCCTGCGAAGCTCTCAGCTTGCATTCGGCGCCTCATAAATGCTGGTTTTTATCTGAGTTAGAGCTCTGCTGGCAGTCAGGAAGCTTGCCTTCTCATCACAGTCCTGCTGCCGTGTGATCTAGGACAGGTTCCTCAACCTCTCTGGGCCATGATCATGCCTCTTGCGGCAGCTTCAGCTTCAGAGTCGCTCGCTGAGGAGGCGGAGGGGGGGGCGGGAGGGACATTGTAGAGCCAGCAAGCCTGTCCCCTAGGCTCTCCCATGGTGAAGGGTGTGTGCTGATTTCCTGAAGACAAAGCAAACTGTTGGAGGGAGAGACCACTCCCGGAACTGATGTCCCCAGAGACACAGAGACCTGGACTGCGAAAACGCCCCAAAGAGTGTCTGGCCCATGCAGACCACTCCGTGACCTCCTGGGCCTCTGTGTCTCAGGCCCAGACAATGCCACAGCCAGGTCACGGCAGAGCAAGTGTCATTGTTATCCTCAGGTCCCCAAAGGCCACAAGGGGACTCCCGCGTCAGGGGGAGGCGGTCTTGTCCACGCCTCAGACAGCTACAGGCCACTGCTCCCTGAGAGCCTCCAGAATCATAGGGCAAAAGCCGCTTCAACAGAACTCTCCGGCTTGAATGTTCTGCCTGTACTTCCATGCCATAGCCACTCAGTGGCCAATGGGGCTCCCCAGAAATGAAGCCAGCTAACTGAACAACTGAACTATCAGACTTCATTGTAACTAACTTATTTATTTGGGAGCCACAGAGACAGCTGAAAGCAGGGCAGAGAGGGAGGGAGGGAGGGAGGGAGGAGAGAGAGAGGAGAGAGAGAGAGAGAGAGAGAGAGAACCGCAAAGGTGTCTACTATTGGCACAGACCGACGCTGCCGGGCTCGAACTCCACGCAAATCGACCGCGACCTGAGTCAAACCAAGAGTCGACGCTGACCGACTGAGCTCCCAGGCGCCCCCTCGGATTCAATTCACAATTTATTTTTTTTTTTTTAATTTTTTTTCCACGCTTTATTTATTTTTTTTTTGGGACAGAGAGAGACAGAGCATGAACGGGAGGGGCAGAGAGAGAGGAGACACAGACCGAAATAGGTTCTTCCTGGAGCCACGAAGCTTCAGAGCTCGACGCCGGGCTCAACCACGGACCGCGCAGATCGCGATTCGGTTGGAATGGACGCTAATCCCACTCCGCTGAAGTCGACGCTAATCGCACTGCGCCACCCAGGCGCTTCAATCTCATACTTAAATATCACTACCGTGAGACGTACCAGTGGCTGGGTCGGGGGTCAACCACCATTGTCACAGCGATTCGGCTATCGCAGCTCCCCGTATACGTTGAGCTCCTCAGTTCCCTCTCCCCTACTGGGCGTTTGCACGGGACGGGTCGCATTAACTCCTCCCCGTGCTTCACGCTTCTGGCTCCACACTGCGACCACCTCAACAGTGCTCGAGGGCTCCCTTTAAGCAGGAACAGCCTGGAAGGAGTCTTTGTCTTGAAACCCAGAGACTTGAACCCGAAGGCCACTTTAAAACTGATCATGCTGGCTGCTCAATGGTTAAGATCCTTGATTTCAGTCATGATTCAGTTTAGGATTACTGATCAGGCCCTGGGCGTGACAGTGGGGAGCCTGCTTGGGATCTCTTCTCTCTGCCTCCCTCTCCCCTGATCACTATCTTGCTCTCTCAAAATAGATAAACAACATTAAAAAAAAATTTTAGAGACACAAAACATGTTAAAACTATAAAGATGAAGGGGTAACCGGGTGGCCTGTAGTCGTTGCCGCCCAGCTCTTCTTGATTTCAGCTCATGATCTCACAGTTCGTGGGATCGAGCCCCACGTTGGGCTCTGAGCTGCCAGTGGGGAGCCTGCTTAGGACTCTCTCTCCCCGTTGCCCCCCGTGCATGTTCCATCTAACAAAATCACTAAATAAACATTTTTATTTTTATTTATTTATTTTTTGTTGTTTATTTATTTTTACATTGAGAGAGACAGAGTACGAACAGGGAGGGAGAGAGGGAGACACAGAATCCAAACAGGCTCCAGGTTTGAGCGGTCAAGGCACCGGGCGCTGGGCTCGAATCATCGGTGACTCCGAGCTTCAATGCCTGTCGCTTAACCGACTGAGCCACCCAGGCGCCCCATCATTTTTAAAAAATAAAACAAAAGCTGGCCAAGCTGTGTGACTCCAGGCAAGGTACTGCCTTCTCTGGACTTGAATTTCACCATCCTAAAATGCAAGGGCGCAGCTAACTGATGCCAGACAGATTTTAACACCCACCTACCCTCTGTCACAGAACTTTCCCCCAGGAAAAGGCTACAGGAAAATGACATTACTATTTCCTTACTTGGAATAAACTACCATAGGGTTAGGTACAATTTCTGAGGCCGCGTTTCTCTCTCCTGGTCCTGAGATGCAGTCCCAGATCTTGCTTTTAACATCGGGGATTACAGCTCTTGCACGAATCACTGCCCACACGCTATCCTCCAGGGGACCCCAGGGGAGGGAGGGAAGCCTGGGACCCTCCCAGGGATGGGACTCGAATGGCACGAGGTAATGAAGAAGAGGGGACGAGGGGACAGCGGTTACTCGCAGGGCTGGATTTTTCCATCCTGATCACTTAAGCCTCTTGCCCGCTGACATGGGCAGAGGGCCCTGTTGCAGACGGGGCCACTGAGACTCAGGCTGGGGAGTGAGACCACGGCTCTGCGGTCAGCTTCGGCTCCTCCAGGGCCGACGGGGGCACTCACCATGGAATCTAAGGCAGACACGAGGCTGGTGATGATCTCGTCTTTGCGGGTGAAGGCGGAGCTCCAGCGGTCGGGCCCGCAGCCGTTGGTGGGAATGTCGCAGCGCTTCCCCAACAAGGCCATGGTCACCTGGAGGGAGGGAGGAGGAGGAGATGGGCGTGTGGGGCACATTCGGCAGCTGCCCACTGCCCAGGCCCCCAGGGGCCGCCTCTGCTTCCCAGTTGGGACGAATCAAGAGCTGGCCACCTCTTCACACAAGGGTCTCGTACGCATGAAGGCATCAGAGCCCCGACAGGCCTGGAGACACAGTCGCCTGCACACAGCTCCACGGGGGCACGGGCACAGACGGCAGGAGACTGGGGAGTGCGCTCCACGAAACGTCCCCCGAACCTGCAATGCCGGTACCAGGGCCAGTCTGCCTGGCACCTCAACCACCAACTCTCCCCCTGCACGTAGCTCTGGCAGTGGCTCTGCCTCGCTCACACACCCTCTGTGGCTCCCTACTGCCCACCTCTGGACTCCTGTCCCCCATCCAGCTCCCCCACTCACACCTCACGCTCCAGGTACGCCAAGCATCACCGTCTCTGAAACATACCCACATCCATTCTCCCCGACCGGAGTGCCCCTCTGTCCTCTACCGACTGCCCGCCCTGCTTTTAATGGTCACCTCTGCTGGCAAGGTGCCCTCCGCTGCCCCACCTCCTGCCCCTTCCTGCCCCAGCTGGGCCAGGCGTCCTCGCTGGCCTCCCACATGTCCCCAGCCTCCTCCGTCACAGCTTTCTCTCAAGCCACAGGCTTCCCTAGGCCAGGCCACTGCCCCGAGGCCCCCCCGAGCTCAGAAAGATACCGTGGGGCAGAGGCCACTTCATCTCAGAACAGGGTTTCCCCAAGACAGGACTTTGTCCCATAGTCATGAGGATCCTGGAGGACAGAGGTGCATTTTCTCCCCAGTGGGGCACCCTCAGACCAGGGCCCAATGTCAGGGCTGCCCCAGGCAGCCCAGAACGGGAACCCACTAGATACACAGGTCAGCCTCCCCTGCTTCCAGTTCCTCCCTGCCCCTCCCTCACCAGAACCCCAGGAGTCAGGGCCAGGGTTTGGGGGCACCCCCCGCCCCCCCACCCCACAGGCTGTCCCAATGCCAGGGCCTTCCAGAGGCGGCTGCTCTCTCGCCAATCCAAGCAAAGGAGAGGGCAGAGAGTGGAGGCAGGGACTCTGGGTTTCCCTCTCTGGGCTCAGCTCCTCCAGGGCTCTGTGCATGGGCCCCAGGCCAGGTGCCGGTGGCCGGTTCAGGGGAGTGAGCATCAGAGGGAGTCTGTGGATCCCGTCCCGTTTGCTTCCTGCACACGGGGATGCCGGGGGCGGGCTGACAGCTGGGCCTGCTACCTTAAAGGGTGCCAGACCCAGAATGCCTTCTGTTACCACAGCTGCCCCTTGGACTGTAAGCCCTGTGAGGGCAGGGGCTGGTGACCCCCGGGGCTCAGCTCAGGCCCGATGTGCATGACGGGCCAAGGGGGGGTGTGGTCCAAACCGCAGTCTGCAGGCTTCCTGTAAGTCATGGGTCGGTGACGCAGAACAAGTGTCAGAGTGCCTCACACATAACCAGGTGAGAAGCGTCCGAACTTCGGTTATGGAAACATGCAAACGAACGAGGAACACTCTGGAGCCCGGCTCCGGCCTCGGCTCTGGCCCCAGTCTGCTATTTGGCTGTGAATAAATATTGATTTTAACAACGGGCCAGGCACCCGCTGGCCGGAATGTGAATTGGGTTCACTTCTAAATGTTTATAAAATTCCTTTCTTCTCCCAGGTTGCAATTTTACAAATGCTTGAAGTCCACAGTATTAAGGGACGCTGAGGGCATGACAGGCCACGTACGGGACATCCCAAGGGCCCAGCAGGCAGCCGGTGGCTTCCCCTGGAGCCTTCTGTGGCACGAAGACCACCGGAGGGTCTGCCGTGTGAGCAGCTGAGAGGTTTGCCCGCCCGGGGCGCTGGAAGGCTTCTCCCCTCCCTTCGGCCACCCCTCGAGCCGTCCCCAGACGGACCTCAGCCTGCCAGCCTCCCAGCTGCTGAGGCCCAAATTGAATCAGGGCAAAGCAGGAGGCACCAGACGGCCCCGGCCTCCGGGTCACCCAGACCGCTGTTGGCTCCTTCCTGCAGAGTCCTAATCCATTTAGGAAGGAACCAGGGACTCAGAGACGAAGGGAGGGAGGAAAAGGGGGCTCGGCTTGGGCTGTCCCCTGACTCCTTGTCCCGAGCAGGTGGGCGCACTCAGGGAGGCAAGACGGAGAAGAGTCCCCCCTCTGACAAACGACCAGGCTTCGGAGAGAGGGTCCCATGTGGCCAGAGCTGCTGTGGATGGGACAGAGGGCCAGAGCGCCGGGCCGGGAGCCGTAAGCCACACACACGGGGAGACCCAGACAAAGGCCTGCCAGGAGGACCACGTTGGGTCAACTACCCCAAACCCTAGTTTCCTCATTTGTTTTAAAGGGTTTCTGGGGGGCGCCTGGGTGGCTTAGTCGGTTAAGCATCTGACTTCAGCTCAGGTCATGATCGCACAGTTTGTGAGTCTGAGCCCCTTGTGGGGCTCTGTGCTGACAGCTCAGAGCCTGGAACCTGCTTCAGATTCTGTGTCTCCCTCACTCTCTCTCTCTGTTCCTTCCCTGCTTGT